AATGAACTTATATTAGCATTTCTAAGTAATAAAAGTGTAACCTCGTAACAGGTAAGTCTTATGTTTCTAGTCATCGTTTAAGATATCTTTTTTACTAGATGTTTCCTTGCAGGTCATACATTATTTATTTAACCGAGGTGTGGGGGTATGACCATAAAGAAGGTGAAAGAATGTTTGTGAGCTTGTTTGTTAGGGTACTGTTCCGGCACTACTTGATGTAAACCGGAGCAACTACCGATCAGAGCAGCTGGTCGCTTTCCCTCTTGTCAACATCTGAATCGTGCAGTCACACTTTCTTTGTTTTGCGCTTATTTTGTTTATATTTCTACACTTGTAGTGACACGATGTGATGGTGTATATTCAATGGTTGTGAGATGTGTTATGTGTAAGTGGTGTGGTGACATGTGGGTTTTTGCCGGTATATGCAATTATTTTGTATTGTTGTATTGCCTATTTGATAAATAAATTAATAAATAAAAAACTTATTATTATATTGTTGTTATAGTTGTTATTGTTGTTGTTGTTGTTGTTGTTGTTATGAAGAGATTTATAAGATTGAAACATAAAGGGTACAAATACTTGTGCCTACAAAATAAATGTGGGACAAAATGCTCAAAAACTACGAAACTTATTTATTATCTTCTCCACCTTTCTCTATCCAAAATTCGCTATCTATTCGCTATCCAAAATTTTCTACAATAAATGCGCAGATTGTTTCTTGTTATTTTTTGTTTTTGTTTTATTGATTCAAAATATTGTAATAAATGGTCTTTGTTCTGATCGGGATTTCGAGTAATTCAGACGTATTATTAACAGCTCTGTGTTTATAAACAGTTCGATAAACTGTGATTAATAACTAAGTGTTTATGCCATTGTTTATTAAAGTTTCTTTATTTGATTAATGAGATAAATTTAATCAAATCAAATTCTTTATTTGATTGTATTTTGTTAAGATACAAAAACTATGTACTGAATATGGCTTCGGTTAAATGCTGCAAGACGCAGCAATGCAAAAATTGTATTTGTATCCAGTGTGGAACTTGTTATCATAAAAACCACATTGATAGAATACAAGACAGAATCGACATTGATGAAATGCGCATCATATGTTGTCAACCGGATGATGATGTAACTGAACCAAAGGTGTATGTTTCAAACCTTTTGGCAAAGCAAGTTGCTACTTCAGGATTTGCTGAAGGAAACAAAAAATAATAATGCTCTTCTCCAAGAAAAGGTGGATAAAATGGCAAGCAGTACTTCGAGTGTTCCTCAGAAGATGACGTATGCAGACGTGACATCCACGACGGTCAAGCATTACACCAAAAAAGTTCCACCAATCATCGTGAAATCAAAAACTAAATGTGATAAAGGTATTTTATTGAAAAATTTAAAAACCAAAATCAATATTTGTGATAAGAAAGTTTCGGTCAGTTCTATTCGAGGAAGAGATGACGGGACAGTTTTGGTAAGTTCAATGACCAATCAAACTACGAGCTAATTGAAAACGAAATAAAACATGTCCTTGAAAATTGCGTAGTTATGAAAACAAAATTGAGAAATCCTAGAATCAAAATTGTAGGCATTGAAGAAGACTGTGAATTCGATAAAGATAGTGCGGCATTAACTATTAGAAATCAGAATTTTGAAAACTCCGAAGCTTGTGATGTGAATGTTCTCTATATCCAGAACATTAAAGCAAAGACAACTAAAACCATATACGTGGGATTAAAACCAGAACTATTTCGCAAAGTAATAGATTCAAATTCTATCTACTTTGGTTGGCAGAAATGCATAAGGTATACTGAAGACCTTGTCGTTGCTTTAAATAGTAAATGATTTGACCATAACGCTGCTAAATGTAACAAATAGTCCTAGTAAGTGGCTCTTCTGTGCGGGATCACCAGACTTAAACATAGGGTGAAATCCATGTCAGAACAGAAGTAGAAAGTGTGTGCAATTGCATTCAGTTTAATCAGCATATATGGACTGAAGTTAGCCTACAAATCATTACATGGTTCGAGGAGGGCACTTGCCACAGATAAACATATTGTCAAAAAAGGGTCCGCAATTTTCTAGAACAAAATTATGATGTCTAGACTGATATTTTTAAAAAACAAAAAAATAAAAACTATTAACATTTTTTTTTGGGGGGAAAAAATAAAAAATTTGGGGGGCCCCCGCTCCCCCGGGGGGGTTTTGGGGGGGTGGGTTTTTTATTTAAATTTATTTGGTAAAACAACAATTATAAATTATGGTAACTATAAACCTGTAAATTTGTTAGTTGAATTAAATGCTTTTACTAATATAAAAATGGTCGATTATATTAGCATATTAATATGAAACAGGAGTCTGAACAGACTATGATAACTTAGTGTTAAATTAAAATCGGTGAAAGAAACCTTGATGTCATTATCTGTACTAGAAACTTTCGAATAAGGTGTGCAAATATTTTGTAATTTGAAAAGGATATGAAATGTTTTATGTAAATAGTTGCTCTAAATAAAAATGGATGGGATGGTTCTTGTATTGTTACAAAAGTCTTGACTGAAATGCTGCAATCGGGGCGAATTGGAAATTGGTGATAGAAGGCGATAATTTCCAAATGTTGTTACTAATGTAGGTCAGATTTAATAACTTCTTGTGTACAGATACAAGTAATCCATAATAAATTTATTAATGATCTCAACAATCACCATGCGAGATTATGATAATTTAGGAAATCATTTTGTGATGGAGATGTGAATTTGGAATATACATAAGGAAAATGTAAATCAAATCTGTATTTTGAAAAATTTTATTGAAACGTGGATACAAATCATATATAAATATAATCAACACGCGTTACTGGTAATTCAGCTCTTGTATTCGCTGCATATATGTTGGTAAAAAACAGGATTGATTTAGATGTAGATTCAATAGTCTTATGACTTGATCTCACTGATCATTCGCAACGATAATCCATGTAACAGATGGCGAAACGCGTATTCATCAAAAAGGATTCTGACGAGTGCAATATTGAATATAAAATCAATTTATAATCGTTTGACGAGGCAAATGCATACATTAAATAATGGAATTTGTCTGTATCAAGCAATGATGGCAAATTGTAAGCAACAAATGTTTTTATAAAGCTACAACAGGAAGCTATGGACTGATCAAAACAAGTAATTAAGGGGAAAAAATAATAAAAACAAAGGGAAAGGAAAAATGGAAAACGAAGAAGGGCTTAATAAAATCAGTAGAAACTAAAATTATTTATATCAGAAGTGAATAAGAAACCCTCAGATAATCAATTAAATCTTAAGTTATTTTAAATACAAAATATGCAATGATTTTTTGATAAACAAGCTAAAGAAAAATACTATAATGAGATTGTGAGATACTTCAATTGTAGATTGTAGCATTTAATATGTGAAAATTTATTAATTCCACAACTGGATAAAAAGGATTTCTAAAACAGAATCAATGGACAACCATGTAATACAAAAAAACGGAGGTTGCCTCACTAGGTGAATTGCGTTTGCTAATTACTTTAATATTTTTCGTCGACATTGGGACGAGTATTCACTAAATATTTTGATATGTTTGCTTTGAAAAAAAATATTATAATTGAAATCACCCTCCGAATAAATGTGTTATTTTTACCACTAATGAAAACTTGAAATTACTAAAATACTAAATTACAAAATGAATCATACCACAAATCCACTGGGCTCGAATAAAATGGTCTATTGCTGTAGATTAAAAACACATTATCTAAATTCATTATTTCAACCATTGTATACATTGGTAAATCAAATGTTTTTGGACAAGTGAAATATTCCTGATCATTTCAAAAAAGCAGAAGTGATTTTCATTATAAAACAGGTCGATGAAAAGAAGGGCTACAAATTAATAGATGCTATGATCATTGATATACAAATTCTGCCAAGATATTCTGAAAAGGTAGTTAAAGCAAGATGTGTTTAAGTTATTATTAGAAAATAACATAAAATCATATAAATTTCGCCAATTTGGCTTCCAGGAAGGATATAAAGTACGGAAGAGCCGATTAAATTATATTACAGATGAAATCAAATCTATAGTATGCGATGAAAACGTTTTGTACAACATCAGGAGGCGGAATTCGAAATTCGTTCACACTTTATTCTTGTTTTGACTATCTCTTAGATCTTGCTAACAGGCATTTGATTTACTGGTTCAAATAGCATCGATATTGTTAGAATCAAATTGTATAAATGAGGATTAAGAAGAACTTCTTATAATCTTTTAAAGGTATTTGACCAATAGAAAACAGGTGGTCAAAATACGTTATTAGTGAAGGAACAAATTGTAACCTGCGGGTGTTCACAAGGTACATACTGGGAACCCATATTTTTTTAATTATACTAAACGATATGTTTTGGAAATTGAAACAAGTGAATTGGTATTTTTGAACAGATGATACAGCTGTAATAAAATTTAATAGGCAAACATGGCCCAGGAGGTTATCTTGGGCAGCGCGAACACAAAATATGAAAATTGACTAACTACATGGCTAAAAGATAAAACTTAGTGTTAGAGACTCAAATATCCAAAAACGAGTTTTAATGTAATTAATAGTAGTTATCAAGATAGCATTCCTGCCGATTGTTCGATAAAACTACATAAAAATTTCATGACGATACTAATTATTGTTGTTGTCGCTGAATAATGAAATAGAACATGATGGCTACGTATTTGGGGAAATCTATATCTGTTTGTACTTTTAAATGGAGCCATCAAAATTCAACAAATTGTAACAAGGTTAGATCCTTATTATATCGTTTTTATAAGTTGAAGAACTATAGCTGCATACTAAGCAATTCATGTCTTATATACTATACCTTTGTGTTTGGTTCATAGCAACCTAAGGTAATGTAGATGGGGGTGGAGCCTACAATAATAATATGAAAGCGGTTTAATTGATATAGACAGAAACGGAATTATAAAAGATCATTTATAATAAAAGCAAACTATTTCCATCGAAATAATATTTAGAGAATAAATAATAGCGTAAAGAAATTTTAATATAGAAAAAGCGGTTATTTACAAACTTTTGAGTCTATGTATATTGAGAATATAAACTAATTACAGCGCTAAGAAGAACACAGATATCATCCGAGAATAAAATGTATAAAGAAATTCGTAGACGTCGGCATTATATATGTTGGTTACAAAATATTCAAAGCGTTTGGATAGAAATACTCAAAAATTGTGATGTATAATATCACGAGGACAACGAAAGCGTATCAGATCTTAGATTATTGATTTGGAACTGATTCCAGTAATTAAATCATTTTTAACAACCCATGGCAGTGCTAAGGGAAATATGTCTGAGTATGTTCAAATTATATTATCTTTTATATTATTTTTCCATTTTATAATTTTCATTTTTCTTATTTTGTTTTTTCTTCAAAATTGATAAATGTGTACACCTAATTAAGCCAGCGTGCCTATGGCATCTATTTGGGCCGCTTGAGAGGATTAGCCTCGCCACAGGAAGAAGGGTTTTCCGTAAGGGGAAGAACGCGAAACGAGACACAAGGCTTGGAGTCATCCGCCTATAGAAACTTTTGCACTGTATAACAACGGAGGGGGTGGCGTGACGTAGTAGGTCAGTTGGGCCCGCTATATAAAAGGTACAGAGCCAGTGGGTGGGTTCTGGAGATGTGGGAGAACCTCGTGGCGTTGCACAAAACTTGCGGCAAGACGGGTGCATATTGCGAGCCCAGGCTCGCGAGGCTCGAGTCACTACTTGACGAAGCCTGCGGACTTATTAGGTCGCTGGGTGACTGGCGGTCTACGAGAGCGAATGCCATGTGTGCGTGCTCGAGGTGATGAGTGGTTGAGTGGCACGATTCACGGCCGATTCCAATCGGATAAGATCGCTCTGCGATCCGAGGCAATACCAGCCGGGTTGGTACGCCAGACGGACTTTGTGGTCCCAGCATGACTCCGGTTACGGGGAAGCTATGGCTTTGTGCCGCGCTTCAAAAGTAGAGTTGGCGAATGCCCCAAATCAATTTTCATACTTCAGTCGGTTTGGATCGAGCTGCCGCGATCAGGGATAGTAGGTCTATCAGGCTAGGGTGTAAGTAGGATATTAGTGTATATATTTGTTTTGTTTTCTTTTTGTAATAAATATATTGTTAACGAAACATCTGTGTCTGTGTCGCTGTGAGTACCATGACGTCACAAATGAAACAGGTACACATATATGATACAGATTAGTCATTGCCGGTTCCGCGCACAAGACTACTGGCGACCTTCTATCTGCGACCCTCTGCGAAATAATGCAACATTATCTGACTTCTGTAAGACCTGTAATAATAATCCCATTATATTTTCT